TAGGCAACGGTGGCTCACGCCTGTAATCCTAGCTACTCAGGAGACTGAAATCTGAGGATCACGGTTCAAAGTCAGCTGGCACAGGAAAGTCCTTGAGACTCTTATCTTCTACTAACCACCAAAAGAGCGGGAAGTGGAGCTGTGGCTCAAGTAGTAGGGCCCCAGCCTCCAGCAACAAAGTTAAGGGATAGTGCCTAGACTCTGAGTTCAAGGTCCATTATGAGCACACACATGCGTGCATGTACACACACACACACACACACACACACACACACACACACACACACAGATTGGAGCTGTATGCCCCTGCTGTAGCCCACTGTGGTGGCAGCTCAGTATCTTGGGCTGTGTCAGACTCCAGGACCACAAAGACCCATGAACACCTATACCTCTAATTGTTCAGCTTTGAACAAGAGCTCTCATGTCCCAAAGTCCCTGAGCTGGCCTTCTGATGGGTGGAGTAGCCACTGGGAAGCCCCACCCACCCATCAGGACCCCAAAGTCCTCCTATCAAATGCACAAGTCCAAAAGTGCTCATGGAGTGGGTGGCTCAGGCTGTCATCCTAGCTACTTGGAAGCCTGGTTCAAAATCAGCCCAGGCAGACAAATCCAAGAGACGACTCTTTATCTCTAACAACCAAAAACCCAGGTGTGGTTCAAGTGGTAGAGCACCAGCCTTGATATGAAAAAGCTAAGGGAGAGTATGAGGCCCTGAATTCAAGCCCCAGTCCTGGCACTTGTGCATGCATACACACACACACACACACACACACACACACACACACGTTAACATATAGAGAGCCCACAATATAAAGCTGACCTTGGAGCCATCTAGATGCAGTGACAGCTTGCATTGGTGCTCTAATTGGGGCTTAGAACCCACCAGGGTGAGAAGCACCAATGCAGAAGTATAAACCTGTCGGGGGGGGGAGGGGGTTCTGATGGCTTTCCAGAATCTTCTTTCTTGATGCTCCAATCTCCTCTGTGCCCGGTGTCCTGCTGGACCCACTGCCTGGCTCATAGCTTGCAGCAGCTCTAAAGTGGATTAAAAAATTCCCCCAGTAAGGGGTGGCAGAATTCATATGAGCCTGGGGATTTAGCAGTTTGGCTGAACAGGCCAAATCCAGACTAGATGGCTTCCAAGTGCAGAATGAGGGCTTCCAGGTGTGAGCTGATTTCTGGTTTGCCTCCATGTCGCAAACTACAACTGTATTTAGATTAAATTTATTTGGATCAGTGGGTGGGGAGAAGCTTAAACCACCAGATCATCCTTTGGTGCGGTCCTGCTTCCTGTAAGTCCCCTCCTTCCTTCCTCCCTTCCTTCCTCCCTTCCTTCCTCCCTTCCTTCCTCCCTTCCTTCCTTCCTTCCTTCCTCCCTTCCTCCCTTCCTCCCTTCCTCCCTTCCTCCCTCCCTTCCTCCCTTCCTCCCTTCCTTCCTTCCTCCCTTCCTCCCTTCCTCCCTTCCTTCCTTCCTTCCTTCCTCCCTCCCTTCCTTCCTTCCTTCCTTCCTTCCTTCCTTCCTTCCTCCCTCCCTCCCTTCCTCCTTTCCTTCCTTCCTTCCTCCCATCTTTCCTTCCTCCTTTCCTCCCTCCCATCCTGTTTTCCTCCTTCCCTCCCTCCCTCCTTTTCCTCCCTCATTTCTTTCTTTAGTGCTTGGGATCAAGCTTGGTCTTGCATATGCCAGGCAGGGGCTGTACTAGTGAGCCACACCCGCAGCCTCCCTCTTTCCTTTTCCTGGCCTTCCCTTTTCCTTACTTCTTTAACTTTCCTCCTCCAGGACCAAGGGTTTTGCTTCCCTTTGCCCAGCCCAGGCCATACCCCACCAGCACCCCACAGGCTCTTTCTTCATCTCTGGAAGGAAAAGTGAGAGAGCCTGAGGTTGGAGTTCCTTCCCCTTGGTGTGGCACCGGGGGATGGGATGAGTGGCTTCATTCCACCCAGGAAGTCCAAGGCCCTTGTGCTCACACCAAAAGTTGTTGGCTCGTTTTCCAACAGGTTTAACATTGGCCTCTGCCCGGCTGCTGAGCAGAGCTGGCAGGTGCAGAGATGCCAGGGGAAACTGTTGCTGTCAGGAACAACTCTGTCCAAAGGGATGTGCTAAAGCCAGCCAGAATGGCCACTCACTAGGGTGGCGACAAGGGCTTCTAGGATGGCTGGGCTGCAGTCCAGGACCAGTGGGCGGGGCTAATAAGAATGCACACACTTTGATTGGCTTTTCTGTCTTGTTTATTACCATGAAAGAGTTGCAGACTCAGTAAGGGTGGCAAGGGGCAGGAAAGCTGCAGGAAGGGCTGGCAGCAGCCCACAAGGCCGACCTTGAGCAAGGTTTCACTCTACTTGAGACCTGGAACAAACCCTGTCCCTCTCAAAAAATAGGCTCATGGCGGGGTTCTTTTTTTTTTCTTTTTTTCGTTTCAGGGCAGAACCCAGCCTGGGCCTCCAGTTTCTGTCTCAGTTCCCAGCCCTTCCTCTCCCTCCTTCTGGCCCCACCCTGCCAAGTAGACCCGCCCCCACTCAACTCCAGCCTGCAGTGGATTACCCCTCCTGGCCCCTCTCCAAGCTTTGAAACCTAGCTTATCATTAAGTCTTTCTGGTAGCAGAGTGAACCGAATGCTATATAAAAAGTGCATATGTCTCAGTCACACCAGATCCCAGGGTGGGTTGTGATCCAGCTGGGGTCCCGATGCTTACTAGCTGGGTGGCTTTGCACCCATGGCTTAACTTGGCTGAGCCTCAGTTTGACTACTTACTAAATGACAAAAGAAAGCCAGGGGCTGGGAAGGTGGCTCAGTGGTAGAGTGCTTGGGGGTTCGATTCCTCAGCACCACATAAGTAGAAAAGGCCAGAAGTGGCGCTGTGGCTCAAGTGGTAGAGCACTAGCCTTGAGCTGAAGAGCTGAGAGACAGCACCCAGGCCCAGAGTTCAGACCCCACAACCAACAACAACAACAAAAAAGCCAGACTTGCATGTTGTAATCCTTGCTAGTCAGGAGGCTGACATCTGAGGATCACAGCAAGGAGTCAACCTAGGCAGGAAAGTCTATAAGACTCTTCTCTCCAATGAACCACCAAAAAGCTGCAAGTGGAGCTGTGGCTCAAGTGGTAGAGCAACAACCTTGAGTTAAAAAAAAAAAAAAAAAAAAAAGCTAAGGGACAGCACCTCCAGGCCCTGAGTTTATGCCCCAGCACTATCAGCCCAGAAAAAGGGAAAGAAAAAAGAAGAGAAGTATTTAAGGGAAAATGATGCTGTCCTCCTCAGCAAACCCCACACATGGGCTGTGGCCCAGGGCTGAGACTTCAGGATCCCTGAGGGCTGGAAGAAGCCTGTAAGGCTGCCTGACCCCACAAGGCAACGCTGAGGCTGGTAAACAGCGCACTGCATTCCAGCCCTGTGGCAAACATTCATACACGAATTCTTTGTCCTCATGAAGAAAAGACAGAGCTGCTGTGTGCTGCAATCCCAAAGCCAAGAGCCCCATTTTCAAAATCCCCAACCAGAGAACAAGGCCAAGCGTGCCACCAGCCTTCTTGCAAGAGAAACTTGCCCAAACTTGGAGTTCTTGTTGTTGTCTTCTTTCCCAATCCCCATGCTCTCGCTTAGCTTTTGTGTTCAAGGATAGCGCTCCACCACTTGAGCCACACCTCCAATCCCAGCTTTTTCAATTGGTTAATTGGAGAGAAGAATCTTAGTGACTTTCGTGCCCCAGCTGGCTTCAAACCTTGATCTTCAGCTCTCAGCCTCCTGAGTAATTAGGATTACAACAAGCAGGAACCACCAGCACCTGGCAAGATCAGCGCCATTATTTCAAAGAGGAAACTGAGGCCTGGAGTGTACAAGTAACTTGAGGCTACTGGGGGAACACGTAGCCAGTGGCCAGTGCCAGAGCAGAAGGCAGCCATCCTGTGCCTCACAGCAGGAGCCCTTCCTGCTACTCTAATAGTACTTCTTTCCCATTCACCTCTGCAACCTCCTACCCATTTAGAACAGTTTCTGAATCTTGAGTCCATATCCAAGGCTGACACGTTGGTGGAAGGGTCCTGGGGGATTAGGCCACCATCTTGCCAGGTGCAGCTCCTTTCTCTCATCCAAGTGCTGGAGATTGGAGCCCAAGGCCTGGCTCCAGCTAAGCCTCTACCCCTCTTAATTCTGCAGCAGCCCAGCCAGGATCACTGTGTGAATGAAGAAACTAAGAATGCCTCCTCTTGGGCACAGACATGGAGGGACAGAGGGTGAACAAATGCAATGGGGGTACTCACTGGACACTATATTGAAAATGAGCCATAGAACTTGCAGGTGGGGATGGGAGGAAAAAACTGGGAGAGAGGGAGAGAAGGCATGACATTGTCCAAAAAGAAATGTACTCATTACCTGACTTATGTAACACTAACCCTTTTGTACATCACCTGTATTATATAGAACAATAAAAAAAATTTTAAGAATGCTTCTCCTATGTGGAAGTCACACTTAAAGTCACTAACAGTAGCCAGGTGCTGGTGGCTCACACTTGTAACCCTAGTTACTCAGGAGGCTGAGACCTGAGGATCATGATTCAAAGCCAGCCCAGCAAGAAACTCTGAGACTCTTATCTCCAATTAACTAAAAGCCAGAGATAGAGCTGTGGCTCAAGTGGTAGAATACCAGCTTTGAGGCTCAGGGAGAGGCGCCCAGGCCCTGAGTTCAAGCTCCAGGACTGGCACGCGCGTGTGCGCACGCGCGCGCGCGCGCGCGCACACACACACACACACACACACACACACACACGTCACTAGCAAAACTAGCAATGACATCTAGTCTCAACGGTCAGGGCTGGGCAGACAACTTCCCCTGGCTCCACCCTGTCATTACACAATACAATGACACAAGTTATCAGGGTTAATAAACAAGTTTTATTTGCCTCATACAGCATGGATTTTCCTTACATTCTCAATTAATTTGCCATTAAAGTGCCAGAAATTTTCTCGCTCATGATAGCATTTGTTAAAAGAAAATCAAGACTATTGTCAAGAACATGGCAAGTCATAATTCAAACATTTCTCTTACAAAACACAGCATGGAAGCCCCGTGGGATAATCTGCAAACGTGCTAATTTCCTGTCATCCTGAGCACCAAACTGGCTGAGACCACCACCCCTGGAGGGGGGAGGAGGGAATCTATGCTAAAGAGTTTGAGAGAAATACCCACACTCTGGCTGCCACTTCTTTGGACCATCTCTAGATGTTACTATTTGAATAGATCAAATCTCAGGAGCAATTAAGATCTGACCCCATCCACTGCCTTTTATCCCACCCTCTTATTAAGAAAAGCCCCCCCAAAAAAGTCATTACAATGAAAAAGTGGGTTTCAGTTACCCCCCAACACTAACAATGTTCAGTAAAAATGATAATAAACACACACAAAAATAAAAGCTTGCTTAGTAAACAAGAGCTCTCTCAGCAGTCCAAGCAAAAACCAAAAACCAAAACCAAAAAGTCAAAAGAACCCTGAAATCTTTAAGGCAAATACTACTGACTCTGCATTGCGGCTGGGTCCAACTGAAACTCCAGCTACTTGCAGGATTCCAGGAGCCTAGAGGCAGTTGGTTTTTGTTGTTTGTTTTGGTTTGGGGTTTTTTGTTTATTTGTATGTAGCACTTGCCACAGGGGCAGAAGCCCGGATCTTTGCATTATTGCTGAGGCTGGAGAGGTGCTTCTCTTTGGAGTTTATATACAAACACACCCAAGGCTGCCATATTCTTTTTTTTATATATACATATATATATGTACACACATACAAAGACCCACTACTCTTTCTTGGTAGAAACTGCCAGTTCTATCTCTGGCAGCTGGATGCCAACCTTCGTCCCACTGTCATTGCTAGAAGTAGAGGACAGTCGGGACTTAGAGGCCAAGGACACGCCACTCCCCTGCAACTTGCCTGTCTCCTCATCACTCCCCGTCACCTCATAGTGACCTTTGCTCTTTGACCCCAATCCACCAAAGGTACCAAATTTCAGCTTGCCATGCTTGCCTTTGACTTTCCCAGCTTCCAGGGACATTTCTCCACCTTCAAATTCCAAAGTTCCGGTAGGGGTGGAGGGCGCCGAGAACTCCCTCTCGTCGCTGAATGAATTGGAGCGGTGCCTGGGTTTCTTACTTTTAAACAGGGAGAATTTGCCTTTGGGTGAAGATGTGTCTGCTTGTGCCTCTCCTTCCAGAGAACCGAGGCTGGCTTTGGAGCTTTTCAGGTCACCTTTAGACCCGGAAATGGATGCTTCTGGGGAGCCAGTGACACCCCCTTTCCCTTTAGGCTTGGAAAAATTGAACTTGGGCATTTTGATCTTCGATTTCTTCAGTTTCACTTCAGACTCTTCCCAGTCACCTTCGCCAGCGCCAGCCTGCACGTTGGCTTCCACTTTAGGGAAGTGGACATCTACCCCGACTTCTCTGCCAACCAGCTCCCGGCCAGAGAAGGTAAATTTGGGGATCTTCATCTTGGGGAATGTAACTTTTCCAGATCCACTTTCCAAGTGACCTTGAGGCCCAGAAACACTCAGCCCAGGACCCTGGAGTCCCATCTCGCCTCCTTCCACACCTCCTTCTACCTTTGGTCCTGAGAAATGAAGGCCCCCGGCAAACTTGGACGCGTCCAAGTTGAGAGCAGAAGAGACTTGGGGTCCCTTCCACTCACCCTCAGAGCCCTTGATACCTATATGTCCTTTACCCAGGCTGGTATCTGGAGCGCTGACGGCCCCTGAGACATCTACGCCACCTTTGACTTTCGGGCCCTTCAAGCTGACACCAAAATCCGACTCTGGAGATGTCATAGCAACGCAAGGCCCCTTTAAGTGGATGTCAGGTCCTGAACCCTTCAGATCGCCTTTGATTTCAGGACCGGAGATCTGCCCGGTTGGGAGCTGCACATTCACAGCTGGCAGGCTCACATCACAGCCAGAGGACTTTATTCCCGGCATCTGGAGTTTTCCTTCGAGGCCTTGAACGCTGACACCTGGAAGAGCCCCTCTGACAGTGAGGCCTTCCACATCACCAGAGACACCAAGATTTCCTTTTACTTTTGGTCCTTCCAAGTTCAAGTCCATACCCGGTGCCGAGATCTGGGGCCCTTTCAGGTTCACACCCATGCCTGGCCCGGAGAGGTCTCCAGAAACTTGTGGCCCCTTGAGATGAACGTCCACATCGGATCCTGGAGTAGTGATGTCCAAGTGGGGCAGTCTCATTTGGGGAAATTTAAGCCCACCTTCAGAAGCCTCCAAGCTTAGATTGGGAGCTCCTACGGATACTTTAGGGCACTTGATGTCACCAGACACAGCCAGATCTCCCTGGAGGCTTGGTCCCTTCAGCGTCAAGTCTGGTGCGCCAACACCATCTCCTCCCATGTGTACCTTTCCACCGATACCGCTGATGTCAAGCCCGGGGCCGTGCATCTTCACGCTGGGAATGGATGCAGCCAGGTCTCCTTTCAGACTTGGTCCTTTCAAGTTCAGGTCAAGGTCAGGCCCAGAGACTTTGGGCATAGAAAGGTTCACTGAAGGCAGGTCAACTCCTGGCCCCTTTAGAGAGACATCAGGCCCTCCAAGCTTCACATCTGGAGTGCTCAAGCTTCCCTCAAGAGAGGGACCGTGGGTATGGACCTCAGTTCTTCCACCTTCTAGTTTCACACCAGGGACACTGATCTTGGGCATTGAGAACTTGGGGAACTTGATTTTGGCATCGGGACCTTGCAGATCTAGGTCTGGTCCCTCGAGGCCCACGCTGGGGACATCACCCTTTAACTTTGGTCCTTTCAAGTTCAGGTTCACATCAGGTAAAGAGACTTGAGGAGCAGAAATGCCAAAAGATGTTCCTTTGACCTTGGCATCGACACCTTCCATGTTGATGTCAGGTGTGCCGAAATTCGCCTGGACGGCGGGGCCTTTCAAGTCTCCCTCTAGTTTTGGCCCAGAGATGTCCACACCTGGCATCTTGAACTTTGGAGACTTCACTTTGATGTCAGGACCTTCTACATGAATCCCCGGGGAAGAAATGTCTACATCAGGGACCTGGATTTCACCCTCCATCTTGGGGCTCGGGAGGGGGGCCTCAGCTTTTAATTTAGGTGACTTAATGTCAAACTCCACATCCGGGAAGTACATTTTTCCAAACATGGTTTTCTTGGTTTTGGGAGACTTCATGTCGGCCTTGAACGCAGCATCAGGTCCTGTGACGCTGGCCTCCATCTCAGGAGCCTTGAGACTGGCGTCAATCTCGCCCCCGGGAACATTCAAATCAAATCCTTGCTTTTTGGCTTTCACTTTGGGTCCGCTCATGTGAATTTTAGGCATCTTGAACTTACTTTTCTTACCCTTCCCGGCGATGCTTATGTCAGGCGTCTCCACGTTGAGCTCTGCTTCAGGACAAGTCACCTCCAGTGCTGGTGATTTGATGTCAGCCTTCGGGCTTTTTGCACCAAAGCCAAACTTTGGTTTCTTGAATTTAGGGATTTTCACATCTGGCCCCTCGATATTCATTTCTGGGCCTTCCATGTGTACGTCTAAGCCTGGAGTTTCTAAATCAACTTTCGGTCCCTTCAGGTCAAGGTCACCGCCTTCTAACTTGGGACCAGAAAATCCAATGTGGGGTGTCTTCAGATGCAAATCAACCTCAGGGACAGTTACTTTAGGGGCAGATATATCCAGGGATGGCATCTTCAAATGAGGGCCACTGAGTTTGGCATCAGGGCCTTTGAAATCCAGACTTGGACCTTTAAGATCTACATCGGGCCCTTTGAAGGAACCTTCCATCTTAGGAACGGTCACATCGAAATCTCCTTTTACTTTGGGGCCCTTTAAGTCCAGGTCAACATCAGGCATGGAGATCTTGGGGGCCTTGATGTTTATCTCAGGCATCTTGAACTTGGGGCCCTTCACTTTCGCATCTGGCCCTTCAATATTCACATCTGGAACATCAATGTCCACCTTGGGTCCTGACACATCAAGGTCAGCCTTGGGCAGGTTCACATCCACTTCCGGGCCCTCTGCTTTGAAGCCAGGCATGCTGAACTTGGGCATTTTCACTTTGGGCATCTTCAGGTGCCAGTCTGGACCATGCACATCCACATCAGGAGCATCAATGTCCACTTTAGGGCCTTTGATGTCCACTTCAGGGCCCTTGAGGTCACCTTCCACTTTGGGCAGAGACACGTCCACATCTCCCTTCACTTTGGGACCTTTCAGGTTTAAATCAAGGTCAGGCATGGAGATCTTGGGGGCCTTGATGTTCACCTCAGGCATCTTGAACTTGGGGCCTTTCACTTTCACATCTGGCCCTTCAACATTCACATCCGGAACATCAATGTCCACCTTGGGTCCTGAGACATCAAGGTCAGCCTTGGGCAGGTTCACATCCACTTCAGGCCCTTCTCCTTTGAAGCCAGGCATGCTGAACTTGGGCATTTTCACTTTAGGCATCTTCAGGTGCCAGTCTGGACCATGAACGTCCATATCAGGGGCACTGATGTCCACTTTAGGGCCTTTGATGTCAACTTCAGGACCTTTGAGGTCACCTTCTATTTTGGGCAGAGACACATCTACATCCCCCTTTACCTTTGGCCCCTTCAGATTTAGGTCAACTTCAGGCATTGAGATCTTGGGTGCTTTGAGATGCAGGTCAGGCATTTTAAACTTGGGTCCCTTCAGTTTGCCTTCTGGCCCATGAATATCCACATCAGGCATTTCTAGATCCACCTTGGGTCCTGACACATCCATTTGGGGGCCTTTCAGATCTCCTTCCAGTTTGGGAATAGAAATGTCCATGTCTCCCTTGACCTTAGGTCCTTTCAAGTTCAAATCAATGTCACTCATGGAGATTTGCGGGGTTTTGAAATGAACATCAGGCATTTTAAATTTGGGACCTTTGAGTTTCCCTTCAGGACCTTCGATGTGCACATCAGGGCCGTGTACCTCACCTTCTACTTTAGGTAAGGAAAGGTCCACGTCTCCCTTTACTTTTGGCCCTTTAAGATGTAAGTCAAAGTCAGGCATGGAGATCTTAGGAGCTTTGATATGCATGTCTGGCATTTTAAATTTAGGCCCCTTTAATTTTCCCTCTGGACCTTCAATGTTGACATCAGGGGTGTCAATGTCCATGCTGGGGCCCTTCATATCAATGTCAGGGCACTTTATGTCGCCTTCCATCTTGGGCAGAGAAACATCTACATCCCCCTTTACTTTGGGGCCCTTCAGATGCAAGTCAAAGTCAGGCATGGAGATCTTGGGAGCCTTGATGTTCATCTCAGGCATCTTGAACTTGGGGCCCTTCACTTTCACATCTGGAGCTTCAACATTCACATCCGGAACATCAATGTCCACCTTGGGTCCTGACACATCAAGGTCAGCCTTGGGCAGGTTCACATCCACTTCCGGGCCCTCTGCTTTGAAGCCAGGCATGCTGAACTTGGGCATTTTCACTTTGGGCATCTTCAGGTGCCAGTCTGGGCCATGAACATCCACATCAGGAGCATCAATGTCTACTTTAGGGCCTTTGATATCAACTTCAGGGCCCTTGAGGTCACCTTCTACTTTGGGCAGAGACACGTCCACATCCCCCTTCACTTTTGGACCCTTAAGATGCAAATCAAGGTCAGGCATGGAGATCTTGGGAGCCTTGATGTTCATCTCAGGCATCTTGAACTTGGGGCCCTTCACTTTCACATCTGGCCCTTCAACATTCACATCCGGAACATCAATGTCCACCTTGGGTCCTGAGACATCAAGATCAGCCTTGGGCAGGTTCACATCCACTTCTGGACCCTCTCCTTTGAAGCCAGGCATGCTGAACTTGGGCATTTTGATCTTGGGCATCTTCAGGTGCCAGTCTGGGCCTTGAACATCCACATCAGGGGCCTCCACGTCCACTTTGGGGCCTTTGATGTCAACTTCAGGAACTTTAATCTCACCTTCTACCTTAGGCAGTGAAACATCATAATCACCCTTCACCTTTGGCCCCTTCAAATTAAGATCAACTTCAGGCATGGAGATCTTGGGGGCCTTGAGATGCAGATCAGGCATTTTAAACTTGGGGCCTTTCAGTTTCCCTTCTGGACCATGAATGTCAACATCAGGCCCTTCAATGTCCACCTTGGGTCCTGAGACATCAAGGTCAGCCTTGGGCAGGTTCACATCCACTTCCGGGCCCTCTGCTTTGAAGCCAGGCATGCTGAACTTGGGCATTTTCACTTTGGGCATCTTCAGGTGCCAGTCTGGACCATGAACATCCACGTCAGGGACATCAATGTCCACCTTGGGTCCCGTTAGGTCCACTTCAGGGCCCTTCAGGTCACCTTCCACTTTGGGCAGAGACATGTCCACATCACCCTTCACTTTGGGACCTTTCAGGTGCAAATCAAAGTCAGGCATGGAGAGCTTCGGGGCTTTGATGTTCATCTCAGGCATCTTGAACTTGGGACCTTTGAGTTTTCCTTCTGGCCCTTCAATGTTAACTTCAGGGCCCTCGATGTCCACCTTGGGCCCAGACACATCAAGGTCAGCTTTGGGCAGGTTCACATCCACTTCTGGACCCTCTCCTTTGAAGCCAGGCATGCTGAACTTGGGCATTTTGATCTTGGGCATCTTCAGGTGCCAATCTGGGCCTTGAACATCCACATCAGGGGCATCCACATCCACTTTGGGGCCTTTGATGTCAACTTCAGGAACTTTAATCTCACCTTCTACTTTGGGCATGGAAACATCCACATCACCCTTCACTTTGGGACCCTTCAGATTTAAGTCAATGTTGGGCATGGAGATCTTGGGGGCTTTGATGTTCATCTCAGGCATCTTGAATTTAGGTCCTTTCAGTTTTCCTTCTGGTCCTTCGATGTTAACCTCAGGTCCTTCAATGTCCACCTTGGGTCCTGAGACATCAAGGTCAGCCTTGGGCAGGTTCACATCTACTTCCGGGCCCTCTGCTTTGAAGCCAGGCATGCTGAACTTGGGCATTTTCATCTTGGGCATCTTCAGGTGCCAGTCTGGACCTTGAACATCCACATCTGGAGCATTGATATCCATTTTTGGACCTTTGATATCAACATCTGGGCCTTTTAAATCCCCTTCGATCTTGGGAAGGGAAACATCTACATCACCACCTATCTTTGGCCCCTTTAGGTTTAAATCAATGTCAGGCATTGAAATTTTGGGAGCCTTGAGGTGCATCTCTGGCATCTTAAATTTGGGTCCCTTCAATTTACCTTCTGGACCTTCAATGTTAATATCTGGAGTGTCAATGTCCACTTTGGGGCCCTTGATGTCCACTTCAGGGGCCTTGAAATCACCTTCTACTTTTGGCAAAGAAACATCCACATCACCCTTTACTTTGGGGCCCTTCAAGTTTAGATCAAAGTCAGGCATGGAGATCTTGGGGGCCTTGATGTTCATCTCAGGCATCTTGAACTTGGGGCCCTTCACTTTCGCATCTGGCCCTTCAATATTCACATCTGGAACATCAATGTCCACCTTGGGTCCTGACACATCAAGGTCAGCCTTGGGCAGGTTCACATCCACTTCCGGGCCCTCTGCTTTGAAGCCAGGCATGCTGAACTTGGGCATTTTCACTTTGGGCATCTTCAGGTGCCAGTCTGGACCATGAACATCCACATCAGGAGCATCAATGTCCACTTTAGGGCCTTTGATGTCCACTTCAGAGCCCTTGAGGTCACCTTCCACTTTGGGCAGAGACACGTCCACATCACCTTTCAGTTTGGGACCCTTCAGATTTAAGTCAATGTCAGGCATGGAGATCTTGGGGGCTTTGATGTTCATCTCAGGCATCTTGAACTTGGGACCTTTTATGCTTCCCTCTGGACCTTCCACATTGAGTACTGGAGCCTCAATATTCATTCTGGGACCTTCTATGCTGAGGTCTCCTTTAGGCAGATCCACAGCCACCTCAGGCCCTTCCGCTTTTACTCCAGGCACACTGAACTTAGGCATTTTCATCTTGGGCATTTTCACGTTGCAATCTGGACCATGAACATCCACATCTGGGGCATTAACATGCACTTCTGGAGCCCCGATGTCCACTTTGGGGCCTTTAAAGTCACCTTCTACACTAGGAACTGTAACATCTATGTCTCCTTTGACTTTGGGCCCTTTCAAATTGAGTTCCACATCAGGCATTGAAACTTTGGGGGAGGAAATAGTCAGGAAAGGCATTTTAAACTTGGATCCTCCTTTTGCTTTTCCTTGGAGCTCAACTTCAGGAGCATTAATATCAACTTTTGGACCCGTTACATCAATATCTGGCTTTTTAACTTTGACATCCACGTCGGGTGTCTGAACTTTGGAGCCTGAGAAGTTGAATTTGGGAAGCTTGAAGCGAGATTTCTTTGACTTGCCTTCAATATTAATCTTGGGAGCAGAAATGTCCACTTCAGGGCCCTTTACATCCAATTTGGGAGTTTTTATGTCACCCTCCAATTTGGGTCCAGAGATATCCACATCTCCCTTCAGCTTTGAGCCTTTCAAATTCAAGTCAATTTCTGGCATGGAGATCTTGGGCATATTCACATGCATATCAGGCATCTTCAGTTTGGGGCCCTTTAATTTTCCCTCAGGGCCCTGAAGGTCAATATCTGGCGCTTCTAAATCTAACTTTGGGCCTTTTATGTCAAGATTAGGTCCCTTCAAATCACCCTCTATACTTGGAAGAGAAACATCCACATCTCCTTTCACTTTAGGACCCTTCAGATTAAGATCCAAATCTGGCATGGAGATCTTAGGAGCCTTGATGTTCATCTCAGGCATCTTGAACTTGGGACCCTTCACTTTCACATCTGGCCCTTCAACATTCACATCCGGAACATCAATGTCCACCTTGGGTCCTGAGACATCAAGATCAGCCTTGGGCAGGTTCACATCCACTTCTGGACCCTCTCCTTTGAAGCCAGGCATGCTGAACTTGGGCATTTTGATCTTGGGCATCTTCAGGTGCCAGTCTGGGCCTTGAACATCCACATCAGGGGCCTCCACGTCCACTTTGGGGCCTTTGATGTCAACTTCAGGAACTTTAATCTCACCTTCTACCTTAGGCAGTGAAACATCATAATCACCCTTCACCTTTGGCCCCTTCAAATTAAGGTCAATGTCAGGCATGGAGATTTTGGGAGCCTTGATGTTCATCTCAGGCATTTTAAACTTGGGGCCTTTCAGTTTCCCTTCTGGACCATGAATGTCAACATCAGGCCCTTCAATGTCCACCTTGGGTCCTGAGACATCAAGGTCAGCCTTGGGCAGGTTCACATCTACTTCCGGGCCCTCTGCTTTGAAGCCAGGCATGCTGAACTTGGGCATTTTCACTTTGGGCATCTTCAGGTGCCAGTCTGGACCATGAACATCCACGTCAGGGACATCAATGTCCACCTTGGGTCCCGTTAGGTCCACTTCAGGGCCCTTCAGGTCACCTTCCACTTTGGGCAGAGACATGTCCACATCACCCTTCACTTTGGGACCTTTCAGGTGCAAATCAAAGTCAGGCATGGAGAGCTTCGGGGCTTTGATGTTCATCTCAGGCATCTTGAACTTGGGACCTTTGAGTTTTCCTTCTGGCCCTTCAATGTTAACTTCAGGGCCCTCGATGTCCACCTTGGGCCCAGACACATCAAGGTCAGCTTTGGGCAGGTTCACATCCACTTCTGGACCCTCTCCTTTGAAGCCAGGCATGCTGAACTTGGGCATTTTGATCTTGGGCATCTTCAGGTGCCAGTCTGGGCCTTGAACATCCACATCAGGGGCATCCACATCCACTTTGGGGCCTTTGATGTCAACTTCAGGAACTTTAATCTCACCTTCTACTTTGGGCATGGAAACATCCACATCACCCTTCACTTTGGGACCCTTCAGATTTAAGTCAATGTTGGGCATGGAGATCTTGGGGGCTTTAATGTTCATCTCAGGCATCTTGAACTTAGGTCCTTTCAGTTTTCCTTCTGGTCCTTCGATGTTAACCTCAGGTCCTTCAATGTCCACCTTGGGTCCTGAGACATCAAGATCAGCCTTGGGCAGGTTCACATCTACTTCTGGGCCCTCTGCTTTGAAACCAGGCATGCTGAACTTGGGCATTTTCATCTTGGGCATCTTCAGGTGCCAGTCTGGACCTTGCACGTCCACATCTGGAGCATCAATGTCCACTTTAGGACCTTTGATATCAACTTCAGGACCTTTGAGATCACCTTCTAGTTTGGGCATGGAAACATCCACATCACCCTTTACTTTGGGACCTTTCAGGTGCAAATCAAAGTCAGGCATGGAGAGCTTCGGAGCCTTGATGTTCATCTCAGGCATCTTGAACTTGGGACCCTTCATTTTCGCATCTGGCCCTTCAATATTCACATCTGGAACATCAATGTCCACCTTGGGTCCTGACACATCAAGGTCAGCCTTGGGCAGGTTCACATCCACTTCTGGACCCTCTGCTCTGAAGCCAGGCATGCTGAACTTGGGCATTTTCATCTTGGGCATCTTCAGGTGCCAGTCTGGGCCTTGAACCTCAGGAGCATTTATATCTACTTTGGGGCCCTTGATGTCCACATCTGGTACTTTAATTTTACCTTCTACCTCTGGCACGGTCACATCAACATCCCCCTTGATTTTAGGCCCTTTTAGATTCAGATCAACATCAGGCATAGAAATACTAGGAGCTTTGAAATGTATGTCAGGCATCTTGAACTTAGGGCCTTTCAGTTTGCCCTCTGGTCCTTCGATGTCAATGTCTGGGCCACTGACGTCCACATGTGGCGCTTTGAGGTCTCCTTCTAATTTAGGAACATCTATGCCTACCTCTCCTTTTGTCTTTGGACCTTTCAGATGTAGATCAATGTCTGGCATGGATATTTTGGGAGTTTTAAAGTGCATATCTGGCATCTTGAACTTAGGACTTTTCCATTTGCCATCTGGACCTTCCATGGCTACTTCTGGCATGTCAACATCCAATTTGGGGCCCTTGACATCTAGTTCAGGACCTCTGAAATCTCCCTCAAGTTTTGGGGCAGAAGCATCAATGTCCCCTTTGATTTTAGGACCCTTTAAGTTGAAATCAACATCAGGCATGGAGATCTTGGGGGTCTTGAAATGCATCTCAGGCATCTTAAACTTGGGGCCCCTCAGCTTCCCCTCTGGCCCTTCAATGTTCACATCCGGACATTCAATGTCCACCTTGGGTGCTGAGACATCAAGGTCAGCCTTGGGCAGGTTCACATCCACTTCAGGGCCCTCTGCTTTGAAGCCAGGCATGCTGAACTTGGGCATTTTCATCTTGGGCATCTTTAGATGCCAGTCTGGACCTTGAACGTCCACATCTGGGGCACTGATGTCCACTTTCGGCCCCTTGATGTCCACATCTGGCACTTTCATTTCACCTTCTACTTTGGGCACAGTCACATCCATGTCCCCCTTGACTTTGGGGCCTTTTAAGTGTAAGTCCACATCAGGCATGGAGATCTTGGGGGCCTTGAAATGCATGTCAGGCATCTTAAACTTGGGGCCCTTCAACTTTGCATCAGGACATTCTAGATCAACATCCGGTACTTCCACATCCACGCTAGGACCTTTCAAATCTCCTTCTAATTTTGGCACAGACACATCCACATCACCTTTGACTTTGGGGCCTTTCAAGTGCAAGTCCACATCAGGCATGGAGAGCTTGGGGGTCTTGAAATGCATCTCAGGCATCTTAAACTTGGGACCCTTCAACTTCCCTTCTGGAACCTCAAGACTCACATCCGGACCTTCAATGTCCACCTTGGGTCCTGAGACATCAAGGTCAGCCTTGGGCAGGTTCACATCCACTTCAGGGCCCTCTGCTTTGAAGCCAGGCATGCTGAACTTGGGCATTTTCATCTTGGGCATCTTCAGGTGCCAGTCTGGACCTTGAACGTCCACATCTGGGGCACTGATGTCCATTTTAGGCCCTTTGATGTCCACATCTGGCACTTTCATTTCACCTTCTACTTTGGGCACAGTCACATCCATGTCCCCCTTGACTTTGGGGCCTTTCAGGTGTAAGTCCACGTCAGGCATGGAGATCTTGGGGGCCTTGAAGTGCATGTCAGGCATCTTAAACTTAGGGCCCTTCAACTTTGCATCAGGACATTCTAGATCAACATCCGGTACTTCCACATCCACGCTAGGACCTTTCAAATCTCCTTCTAATTTTGGTACAGACACATCCACATCACCTTTGACTTTGGGGCCTTTCAGATGTAAGTCCACATCAGGCATGGAGAGCTTGGGGGTCTTGAAGTGCATGTCAGGCATCTTAAACTTGGGGCCCTTCAACTTTGCATCAGGACATTCTAGATCAACATCAGGCATGTCCACGTCCACACCAGGCCCTTTAATATCAAGATGTGGGCCTCTGAGCTCACCTTCCATTTCTGGCACAGAAGCATCTATCTCTCCTTTCAGTTTAGGTCCCTTCAAATTCAAGTCCACATCGGGCATAGATATTTTAGGAGCTTTGATGTTCAACTTGGGCATCTTGAACTTGGGACCTTTCAGTTTTCCTTCTGGTCCCTCAATTTCCAAATCAGGAGCATCAATGTCCACCTTGGGTCCAGACACATCAAGGTCAGCCTTGGGCAGGTTCACATCCACTTCAGGGCCCTCTGCTTTGAAGCCAGGCATGCTGAACTTGGGCATTTTCATCTTGGGCATCTTCAGGTGCCAGTCTGGACCTTGAACGTCCACATCTGGGGCACTGATGTCCATTTTAGGCCCCTTGATATCCACATCTGGCACTTTCATTTCACCTTCTACTTTGGGCACAGTCACGTCCATGTCCCCCTTGACTTTGGGGCCTTTTAAGTGTAAGTCCACATCAGGCATGGAGATCTTGGGGGCCTTGAAGTGCATGTCTGGCATCTTGAACTTGGGACCTTTCAACTTTCCTTCTGGACATTCAATGTCAATATCCCCAACATCCACATCCATTTTAGGAGCTTTCACATCAATTTCGGGACCTTTCAAGTTCCCCTCCACTTTGGGAAGGGACACATCAACATCACCTTTCAGTTTAGGACCTTTCAGATTCAGCCCAACATCAGGCATGGAGATTTTGTGGGTCTGTATGTTCATGCTTGGCATCTTAAACTTGGGGCCTTTCAGTTTCCCTTCTGGACCATGAATGTCAACATCAGGCCCTTCAATGTCCACCTTGGGTCCTGACACATCAAGGTCAGCCTTGGGCAGGTTCACATCCACTTCTGGACCCTCCCCTTTGAAGCCAGGCATGCTGAACTTGGGCATCTTCACCTTGGGCATCTTCAGGTGCCAGTCTGGACCTTGGACTTCCACATCTGGTGCATTAATGTCCACTTTGGGGCCTTTGATGTCTACAGCAGGTGCTTTTATCTCTCCTTCAACTTTTGGAATTGTTGCTTCATAATCTCCTTTCACTTTAGGGCCTTTCAAATGTAAGCCAACATCTGGCATGGATATCTTCTGAGGCTTTATATGCATTTCTGGCATCTTAAATTTGGGACCTTTTACTTTTGCATCTGGCCCTTCAATATTCACATCGGGAACATCAATGTCCACCTTGGGTCCTGAGACATCAAGGTCAGCCTTGGGCAGGTTCACATCCACTTCTGGACCCTCTCCTTTGAAGCCAGGCATGCTGAACTTGGGCATTTTGATCTTGGGCATCTTCAGATGCCAGTCTGGGCCTTGAACATCCACATCAGGGGCTTCCATGCCCACTTTGGGGCCTTTGATGTCAACTTCAGGAACTTTAATCTCACCTTCTACCTTAGGCAGGGAAACATCCACATCACCTTTCACCTTTGGCCCCTTCAGGTTCAAGTCTACATCAGGCATGGAGATCTTGGGGGCCTTGATGTTCATCTCAGGCATCTTGAACTTGGGACCCTTTACTTTCACATCTGGAGCTTCAATATTGACATCTGGGACATCAATGTCCACCTTGGGTCCAGACACATCAAGGTCAGCCTTGGGCAGGTTCACATCCACTTCAGGGCCCTCTGCTTTGAAGCCGGGCATGCTGAACTTGGGCATTTTCATCTTGGGCATCTTCAGGTGCCAGTCTGGACCTTGAACGTCCACATCTGGGGCACTGATGTCCATTTTGGGGCCTTTGATGTCCACATCTGGCACTTTCATTTCACCTTCTACTTTGGGCACAGTCACATCCATGTCCCCCTTGACTTTAGGACCTTTCAGATGTAAGTCCATGTCAGGCATGGTGACCTTGGGGGCCTTGAAATGCATGTCTGGCATCTTGAACTTAGGACCCTTCAGCTTCCCTTCAGGGCCCTCCAGGCTTACATCTGGGGCTTCAATGTCCACTTTGGGTCCTGAGACATTAATGTCAGCCTTGGGAAGGGTCACATCTACATCTGGACCTTCACCTTTTAGGCTGGGCACACTGAACTTGGGCATTTTCATCTTGGGCATTTTCAGGCTCCACTCTGAGCCTTCCACCTCTGGTGCTTTGATGTCTACCTTGGGACCTTTGATGTCTACATCTGGAACTTTTATTTCTCCCTCTATTTTTGGTGCAGACATATCTAGATTTCCTTTCACTTTTGGTCCTTTGAGATCCAGATTGACATCTGGCATCTTTGGAGCCTTGAAATGCATCTCAGGCATCTTAAACTTAGGGCCCTTCAGCTTCCCTTCCGGTCCTTCCAGGCTGAGATCTGGGGCACTAATATCTAGCTTTGGTGCAGAAATGTCCATATCAGCTTTGGGCAGATTCACATCTATTTCTGGGCCCTCTCCTTTGAGACTAGGCATGCTGAACTTTGGCATCTTAATCTTTGGCATTTTCAAGCTCCAATCCGGACCTTGGACGTCAACATCTGGAGCACTGACATCTACTTTGGGGCCTTTCAGGTCTCCTTCCAGCTTTGGCACGGTGATGTCGTAGTCTCCCTTTACCTTGGGGCTTTTCATATGCAAATCCACATCAGGCATGGAGATCTTGGGAGCTTTGATGTTCATCTCTGGCATCTTGATCTTGGGGCCCTTCACTTTCCCATCTGGCCCTTCAATATTCAAAGCAGGCCCTTCAATGTCCACTTTGGGTCCAGAGACTTCAAGGTCAGCCTTGGGCAGGTTCACATCCACTTCCGGGCCCTCCCCTTTGAAGCCAGGCATGCTGAACTTGGGCATTTTCACCTTGGGCATCTTCGGGTGCCAGTCTGGGCCATGCATGTCCACATCCGGTGCCTCAATGTCAATTTTGGCACTTTTAAGTTCCACATCAGGAACTTTAATGTCACCTTCAGGCCTTGGAACTGTGACATCGTACGTCCCCTTGGCACTAGGGCCTTTCAAGTGTAGGTCCACATCTGGCACGGTGATCTTTGAGGCTTTGATGTTCATTTCAGGCATTTTAAACTTAGGGCTTTTCAGTTTTCCTTCTGGTCCTTCTAGGCTCACCTCTGGAGCACTCACCTCTACCTTGGGCCCAGAAATGTCCACATCTGCCTTGGGCAGGTTCACATCTACTTCCGGGCCCTCTGCTTTGAGCCCAGGCACACTGAACTTGGGCATTTTCATCTTGGGCATCTTCAGATGCCAGTCTGGACCTTGAACATCCACATCTGGGGCTGCAATGTCCACTTTGGGTCCTTTCAGGTCTCCCTCCAGCTTCGGTACTGTTACATCATACTCCCCCTTTACCTTCGTACCTTTCACACGCAGGTCTACATCAGGCATGGAGATCTTTGGTGTCTTGGCACTTACTTCAGGCAGCTTAATATCAGGGCCTTTAAGTTTGCCCCCTAGACCTTCCACATTGACACCTGGGGTTTCTACACTGACCTTTGGCCCTGAAACACTGACATCTCCTTTGGGTAAAGTCACATCTAGATCTGTGCCTTCCCCTTTGACCCCTGGAGTACTGAACTTGGGCACCTTCATCTTGGGCATTTTCAGGTTCCATTCAGGACCATGAACGTCTACATCTGGAGCACTGACATCCACTTGGGGGCCTTTGATGCCCACTTCAGGAACTTTGACTTTCCCTTCGACTTTTGGAAGTGTGACATCCACACCCCCTTTCACTTTCGGGGCAGCCACATTCAAGTCTACATCTGCCATAGAGATCTGACATGTGCCTGGCTTCCCAGAAAGACTGCCAAGCTTGGGGCCTGTTACGGTCCCCTCTAGGCTTGGTGTCTCTATGTCTACTTTGGCGCCTTTAACTGCCACTTGAGGGCCTTTAACGTCACCTTTCACCTCAGGAACCGGGATCTTCACATCGCCTTTCAGTTTAGGGGACCTAAGGCTCAGATCCACATCCTGCATGGAGATTTGGGGTTTCTGAATGATCATTTCAGGAGTCTTGACTTTAGCTCCCTTTATCTTCCCTTCCAGCCCACCAGCAGCGATCTCAGGCAAGCTGACATCCCCAGACACCCCAGGAAGAGCCACTTCTCCTGTGGGCAATGTCACCTCAACCCCTGCTCCTGCTCCCTTGGAACCTGCTACAGAGAATGTAGGGACTTTCATCTTGGGCATGTTCAGTTTGCCCTCGGGCCCGTGGACTTGAACATCCGGGGCTTGAATGTCCACCCTGGGGCCAGTAAGCCCACCCTCAATTTGGGGAGCGGAAGCATCTATTCCTATGCTGCCCTGTGCCTTAGTACCCTTCAGGCCTAAGTCACCCTCAAGGGACGGTCCAGTGAGTTGGGGGCCTTTCAGCTTCCCCTCAAGCCCCTTGATATTGACAGAGGGTGCCTTCACTTCCAGATGAGGCTCCTTGATATCCCCACTGACAGCCAGGCCTGGCTTGCTGCCCTGGGGCCCCAGGGAGAATTCAGGTGCAGAAACATTCAGCCCTACTTCTGGTGCCTGGCCCTCCATTCCAGTGGAGACACCAAATTTTGGCATCTTCATGGTAGGAATGTTAATTTTCCCACTGTCACCACTCTGGAGGGCGGGGCCCTGCGCTGCTCCCGCCCCACCCCCAAGGGAGGACGAAAGGTCCACTCCTGGCACTTGAACCCCTCCTTTGTCACCCTTCGCACTGACATCGACGCCCGGACTTCCCACCTTTATTCCAGGCACGGTGACCTGGAGTTTTGAGTGGCCAGGACCTTGAAGCTCTGGTCCCGAGGCGGAAATGGCTCCTGGCCTGAGGTCAAAGACAGCGCCTGTGGTTGGAGAGGCTGCCCCCGTGCCCGAGGGCAGTCTAATCACTGTCTTTCCAGGCTGGGCCTCTACATCCAAGGTAGAGATTTCTGTGACTTCATGCTTTGGAATCTTGATCATGAATTCAGGACTGCTGATGTCAATTTCTTTGGCTCCTTCCGGGCCGGTCACATCAACCGTGTAGGCCGTGACCCTTCGGGTCACTGTAATGGTACGGCTCTGCGTCTCCCCCAGGTCCCCTTCCACTCCATCCTCTGACCTCAGCCGAGGCTTGATCTTTGTGGCGTAGATGCGCTGGTATTCCTCATCATCCCCGCTCTGCAGAAAGACATGCCCGGCAGAGGTTGCAGCCCAGCCTGCCCGACCTGCCCAGCCACAGCCCAGCTGATAATATATACATACGTGCCTGCTTCCCAAAGAATCTAGGATGGTAAGGGAGGGCCAGGAAGCCTCCTGGGGTAAAGCAGGAGGAGTCATGGGGGGAGGGGTGCTGGCAGCCATATCATAAGAAAATGCAGAAATAATTGGGGAACATTGGCGTAAATGGAAGTCAGGGGAAGAGCTGGGGATGTATTCAAATCCAGAGAGGTTCCAGTTCACCCGTTCCAGGAACTCACTCTAACCACACACCTCAGTGTGCAACTCTCTGCTTGCCAACATCTTCATTTCACCAAGAAGGCCTCTCAGGAGCCCTTTGCACTTTGGAAAGCATCTGTTGAGCCTAAGAGCGTGGCTGTGTTTGCATTATACTTTCACACTGGAGACCCGCCACGTGATCAATGAACAAGTGACCAGGAACAGAGAGACAGCCCTACAAGCCCTGCACTGCCCAGCCTCTGACTCACCGAATGATCTCTGGCCTCTGTGAGGAGCTAAATGATATCTATGAGGCAGAGGTGGCCAGCAAGAAATCATCTCAAAGGCTGCGACAGGCTGGGGATGTGGCTTAAAGGTAGAATACCTGCCTAGACTGGCAGTCTTTGGGGGTGGGGGAGGTTTGATTGTAGGGCTTCAACTCAGGGCCTGGGTGCTGTCCCTGGGCTTCTCTATGTTCAGGACTAGCGCTCTACCACTTGAGCCACAGCCCCACTTCTGGCTTTTGAGTGGTTAATTGGAGATCAGAGGCTCACAGGGACTTTTCTGTCTGGGCTGACTTCAAACTGCCATCTCAGCTTCCTGAGTAGCTAGGATTATAGATGTGAGCCACCAGCACCTGGCTTAGTACTGAGTCTTTAGCTCCCATTCCCTGAATAGAGAACAGGAAATCAATCCCCACCCCTCACCCGCTCTCCTTCCCTCCTTTCATCTCCTTTCTTCTCTTTTTCTATGCCACTTAAAAAGAAAAAGAAAATCACAAAACTACCCTTCTACCCCTCCCCCCCCAAAAAAAAAAAACAGCCAACTCTTAGAAGGAAGAGAGCCAGTGACTCATGCCTACATGCTCCTCAGGAAGCTGAGATCTGAGGATCAAGGTTTGAAACCAGCCTGGGCAGGACATTCCGTGAGACATCGCCATCTAACCACCAAAAAGCCAGAAGTACAGCTGTGGCTTAGTAGAGCACCTAGTGAGCAAAAAAGCTAAGGCTGAGTCCAAGCCCCAGCATGGGGCACGCACACGCATGTGCACACACACACACACACACGCACGCTCACACTCCTACAAAAAGGCAACTGATCTTCCTCCTGGCATCTAGGCCTAGAGCACATGAGTTGGTCCCACCCCATGGCACAGCGGGCACTCACTCTCAAGAGACTTAATTTTCAGAGGCGACATCAGCCCCACGCTATACATGTGCAGAAAGAAACAGGCTGGCCCTGAGGTAAGAAGGCAAGGAGAAGGAATCAGCTGAGGCCCAGAAGGCTGATAGAAGGGGAGTCGGCAGGTCAGGGGAGTCGTGGGCAGCTAAGGGCACCGAGGGGTCGGCGAGTACTCACCAGAACCACCTCAGAGCTGCGCGAGCTGAAGACTTCCTGGGTCCAGGCATGGCCAGGCTCGGGGGAGCGGTCCCCCTTGCGATGGAGCTTCAGGCCCACGGTGTGGTGCCCCATGGTGTTCAGCAGCTGGGTCACCTCCCCGGACTGCAGGTTGTTGAAGTAGATGGTGGCCCCCACAATCTGGTCCCCTAAGTAAGGAAAGAGCAACAGCAAGTAAGACCTATGAAGTCTCCGAGAACAAACACAGAAACAGCCATATGTTGGGCCTGGATACTAACTTGCCTTTAACCCTTCTGAGCACCAAGCAGGCATGAGAATACCCATACTACGGATGAACAAACAGATTGAGGAAGGCCCACTACATTTACTCAAAGCTGCAGAAGTCATAGTAAGTGGTAGAGTCAGACCTGAGAAACTAGTTCTCCAACATCTTCTGAGACCCTCTAGCAAGGGACAGGGTGGACAAGGAAAGACAGAGTTTGGGGCCTCTGTGGGATGCCCAGCCCATTCCTGTCTGCTCCTGACTCCCTGCGCTTCCCTCCCACACACTCCCCCACCCCTGAGCACACACCCCACCCCCCTCCCAGCACCCAGCACCCGATCCAGCCTTCTGGAGCAACTCACCCTCCTTGACCACCCCAGTGCGGGCCGCAGGGGAGTTTGGGTTCACTTTCTGCACAAAGACTCCGTCATCACTCTGGGCAATGGTCAGCCCGTGGGAGCCGCTGCCCTGCCAGTTGGGCAGCAGCAGCTCCCGGGTTGTCTCTTCCTCTTTCTCCATCTGGAAATGGAGACAGTGGTGGGTCACACGCCCTTCCAATGTAGAGGGTCTCCCAAGACAGGGATGATGAAAACCTGCGCATGTGTAGCCTGGGGCTGATGTCCTCCCCTCTGCCACCAGCCCCCTCCGTCCCTTCCACCCGCGGTCCAGCTCCGGATGCCACAAGATCTCCTCCCCCCCCCCCCCCCCATTCTCCCTCCTACTGACCTTTGCAGGACTCTGTTCAGGAGCGAATGCCTTACCGGGAGCCCGCCCCTTCTTCCTCTCTTCCCCTCAGTCTCTTTTCCTTGGGAATCTCCGTCACACAGCCTAGGGAAAAAAGTTTGCATGTTTGAATTCTGCTTGCTCAAAACCACCAAAGGGATGGCTGAATGCTGTTCCCCTCTAGGCCAGGCCAAACGCCCACCATCCCATTATAGCAACTCCATGACTTGCCAACAGCCTGCCTAGCAAGCCCCGGAGTTCATACACTAGTACTTTCCAAAATGAGATCAAGTAAAATAGTACAAATAAAAATAAAGGAAAGTGGGATAGAGGACGCCAGACTCAGACTCAAATACTGGCTCTGTATCCTCCTAGTTGCGGGACCCAGGCCAAGGCAATTTCACTTTTCCAAGCCACCGTGCTCCCTCTATGAAAATGAAAGAGAAGGGCTGGGAAGGTGGCTCAGTGGTAGAGCGCTTGCCTTGCATGCATGAGGCTCTGAGTTCGATTCCTCAGCACCACATAGCGAAAAAAAGCCAGAAGTGGCGCTGTGGCTCAAGTGGTAGAGCGCTAGCCTTGAGCTAAAGAGCTGAGGGACAGCGCCCAGGCCCAGAGTTCAGGCCCCACAACAGAAAGAAAGAAGAAAGAAAGAAAGAAGGACGGAAGGAAGGAAAGAAGGGAGGGAGGGAGGGAGGGAGGGAGGGAGGGAGGGAGAGAGGGAAAGAGGATTTCCAGCCAGGCATGGTGGAGCATGCCTGTAATCCCAGCTACATGGGAGGCACAGACAGGAATAGTGAAGTTGAAGATCACCTCAAGTAAAATTGCAAAGCCCTATCTGAAGAATAACTAAAGGGAAAAGGGCTAAGGGTGTGGCTCAGGTGATACAGCACCTGCCTAATAAGCAGAAGGCCCCAGCTCAAGCCCAGTACCACCAAAATAAAAATAAAGAAAAACTATTTCCCTTCGGATCAAAGACCATCACACAGGAGTTCTGCACCTACAGAATCCATCAGATTCTCTATTAGAGCTGTGAGAGAGAGGCATTACTGTCCCCACTTCACAGACAGAGTGAGATTTTGAAAGGCCATCTGACCCAGGGCACACTAGAAGAGAGACAAGCTGGACACCGGTGGCTCATGCCTGTAATTCCAGCTACTAAGGAGGCTGAGATCTAAGGATATCAGTTCAAAGCCAGCAGGGCAAGAAAGTCCATGAGACTCTTCTCACCAATTAATCACCAAAAAGTTGGAAGTGGAGCTGTTGCTTAATTGGTAGAGAAAAAAAAAGTGGAAAAGGTCAGGGACAGCACCCAAGCCCTGAGTTCAAGCCCAAGGACAGACACCAAAAATAGAAAAAGAAGCCAGGTGCTGGTGGCTCACTCCTGTAATCCTAACTTACTCAGGAGGCAGAGAATGAGAGACAGACAGACAGACAGACAGGCCAGGCTCCAACCTGCATCTGTAACTATCTGTAACTTTCCTCTATACCCAATCTGGTCTGCAGCATTCTGCTGCTAACCCCTCAGCGGGCGCTTCCAGTATGATGGTAGTGTCAGCCTTTCCCTGGACTCTCAGCGGCTCACCATCTCCTCCCCGTCCTCAGGACAAAAAGGAACCCTCACTGCCTGGTGGCTCCAGGACCTAGGCCTAGCTGTCTGTGACCTGAACCAAGGAATCCCCTGATCCACCAGGCCCTGGCCCAAGCTGAGAGGCTGAGGTACAGCTGTACCCGCCTCAGGCCTGTAATGAGTCAAAACCTATCTGGCTGCCTGCACAGGGCCTGGAGCCAGGCCTTGTGAGTAAAGACACAACCCCCTCCCCACCCCACCCACTGGATGAGCTGTCAGCCCCAGAGGTGCCCTGGGAAGACACCATGGGCAGGACAATGGAGCTGGCCCTAAACTGCATCTACCCACACAAAATGGCGGCGATAGCCATCCAAAGCATGCCTGTGAAATTATATGGGGGGGACACCATTCATTGAGATGAGCCTCACCCCAAACCCCACCCTGAAGCTGTTTATCAAGCAATCAATAAATACATACATGCATACTGATTGCCTCCTCTCAGTCCAACACTGAACTAAAAGGAGTTAGCCAGGGACTAACATGAGGGCTGGCCTACTAACACTTAATTGTGCAGTGCATTAGATTGTTACCTACCATCATCGCTAGCAAGACTTCTAAATATTTATTGACTGCACTCTCCATGCGTGGTATGGAGATTTAAAAGGCTGAGATCCCACTCCAGATATAAATTATAAGCAAGATGTTCTGGGTGTGACCAATGGAGCCTCTCAGTGCTCTAGAAGGCTTGAAAGCCTTCTCAGAGAAATGAAAAATAGAATTCCGAGTGGCTCACGTCTGTAATCCTAGTTACTCAGGGGGGCTGAGATCTAAGGCTCTCAGTTCAAAGCCATCTGGACAGGAAAGTCCAGGAGACTCTTATCTCCAATTAGCCACCAGAAAGCCAGAAGTGGCGGTGTGACTCAAGTAGTAAGAGCGCCAGCCTTGAGCAAAAAAAAAAAAAAAAAACAAGCAAGAATGCAAGGCCCTGAGTTCAAGCCCCAGTACTGGTACAAAACACACACACACACACATATACATATAAATGCCTGTATGTATGTACAAATGGAACTTCAAAGGTGCATCTATGTTCACATCTATGGGGCTACGGCTCTCAGAAAGGCATGGGCACTTGGGAGCTCCAGTCTTAGGCAGAAATCAACATGGATGAAAGATAAACACAAACCCTACCTCCCCCGCCCCCCCACACACACCTGCTCTCCCATTTGACAAGGTCATAAAAGTGGTGTTTACCAGGAGCTTTCATTGGCAACACAGGTGCTGCGGTGGCTAGGTGGTGAGCAAAGACTGAGCTGGAGCAACACCTCCTCCCTCTCCCCTCCCTCTCCTCCCTTCCCTCCCTTCCCTTCCTAGAAGGCCTAGGAGGCCTCACAAACTCTTCCCACCGTGAAATACCAACGCTGGAACTTCAAAGATACCTTCTGCCAAGAAGAAGGCCCTGCAGATAGGAGCCAGACAAAGGCTAGAGAAGGGGAAAACTTTCCAGCCCAGTCCTCTCAGAGATCAAGCCACCCCTCCAGGCCGCCCCAGCCAGCGCCCCTGTCTTCCTCCTCCTTTGCCTCCTTGTGCAGGGCCCCTTTTCTCAGCCCAGCATCCTGGTGCTGAGCCAGCAGCAGAGGAGGGGAGAGGAGAGAGAGCGGCCAGCTCACCCTCGCCCACATGGCGGCCCCACCCACCCACCGCCCCTGCTTCCCCGTGTGAGTCACTGCAGCAACAGCTCCAGACAAGCAAAGGGTCAGGCCTAAAACACGTGGTGCCTCCTGGGCCAGGCCCCAGGTGCCAGAGGGGCTGGGGGTCAGCTGCTCTGTCTAGCTCCTCAGGAGAGGAGCCAGGAGTTGCAGAGGTTCAAGAGGGACTAAGCGACCAGCTTCAACTGAAGCCACCTCCAAGGGAGGAGAAGCCATTCTGGGAAGGGGGAGGGGGACCCCACAGCCCGTGAGGACAGAAGCCACTGGACCCAAAGTTGTAGGATGGCCTTGGCCATGCATTCATGGCTTTCCTGGCCAGGTGGGATGCCCAGCCCGCTGTTGCTCTGGTTCTGGCCTAAAGGCTGAGCACAGTGCAGAGGGCCTCCCCTCCCATTGACCTGGGCCATTCAGCTCTGAGGACAGATGTACGGTGCAAATGAGAGCCAAGAGAACATGGTGGCCAAGGCCTGTTTTCTGCATCTGGGGCCCAACCCCTTAAGTCTCTCCTCCACCCCTGGAGCCTGTAATAAGCCCAGATGCGCCCAAATGTTCCTCCCCCGGTTAGGGTAAATCAGGCTTCTTTACGTATTTCTTGGAAATTGTCCTTCAGACAAGAAGGGACCTCAAAGCGCAGCTGTCCAACATTGTAGACACATGTGGGGATTCAAACGTAAACTAACGCCCGGCTCACCCCTGTAGTCTTGGCGACTCAGGAGGCTGAGATCTGGGGATAGAGCTAGCTTCAAAGCCAAACCCAGGCAGGAAAATCCATTAGACCTTTATCTCCAAGTAACCACCAAAAAAGCCAGAAGTGGAGCTGTGGCTCAAGTGGTAAAGGGCGAGCCTTAAGTGAAAGAAAGCTTTAAGGACAAGCCCCAGGACTGGAGAAAAGAAGAAATAAAGCAGGGTGCTGGTGGATTGTGCCAGTAATCCTAGCTGCTCAGGAGGCTAAGATCTGAGGATCCCATTTCAGCCTAGGCAGGAAAGGCCACATGACCCTTATCTCCAATGAACCACCAGAAAGCCAGCAGTGGTGTTGGGGCTCAAAGTGGTACAGCATTCACCTTCAGCAAAAAAAAAAGCTCAGGGACAGAGCCCAGGCCTTGTGTTCAAGTCTTATCACCATCAGAAAAAGAAAAACCCACACACATAAATTAATCAAATTGAAATTATAGTCCGTGGGTTGCTCTAGCCACATTTCCGCAGGGATTTAGATTTCCCCCAGTGCAGAGTTCGGTGGGACAGCGCTGGATGGGAGGAGAGACAAGAGACTGGGAGAATGTGCGGGCTACAGCCCAGGGAGGTCCAGCCCTGTGGTCCTCCCAACACAGGCTCAGTGCCCTCCCTCTGCGAGGAGCAGCAGCAGGGCCGTAGTGGAGACACCCCATGGCGGAGGGCTGCCTGGAAGACGAAAAAGAAAATGGTTATGACAGGGAGGACCCACGTACATGACTGTCAGAACCGTGTGACTAAGGCCAGAAGCCACGACAGAAGAATGGACAGTCCTGAAATTCAAAACCACGAAAGGCTGCACAGAGCGGCCAGGGAGCTGGGACACACCAAGCAGATCAAGGAGGATCTGCTCCGGAGGCAGCCTCTGTGCCCCACCGCCACCCCAGCAGAGGTGGTATCCTGGGTCCCTTTCTTCCCAGAGCCAGTGTGAACACAGCAAGGGAAAGAAAAGGACTCAGCCTAACTTCTGCAGCAATCCGGCAGCCCAGCAACCAGCATGAGTATCAAGATGACAGGAACTGCCTGGCGCCGGTGGCTCACGCCGGTCATCCTAGCTACTCAGGAGGCTGAGATCTGAGAATCTTGGTTCAAAGCCAGCC